AAACTCCTCGCTACCTCTCTCTCTCTCGGTCTCTCTCGCAGCTGCTCTCGTCTCTTGCCTCTCGTCGTCTCTCTCTCTCTCTCTCCATTGTCTCTGCTCTCGTCTCTCTCTCTCTGATCTCTCGTTCTGACTTCTCTCTACTCTGACTATCTATCTCTCTTTATCTCTCGTCCTGCTTTCGCCTCTCTCGTCTCGCCTCTGAGTCTCTCTCGCTGAGAGAGAGAGAAGAGAGAGAGAGAGAGCATATGAGACATGGAGGGTTGACGGGAATGCTAGAAAGAAAAAGGAAGAAGGAGGAAAGTAGGAAAGATAGAGGAAAGAAGAAACAGGAAGAGAAACACCCACGGTCGTTACCTCGTATTTGTTGAGCACAGACTTGTCTTTGATGGCTTCACCTCCTCCATCCTTCCCTCCGTCGCTGAGCTCTGCAGACGCGCGTAGCTTGGACATCTCGCTCTTCGCATACTCTGTCCGCTGCACCATCATCTGCAGCTGCACCGCCATCTCCGCATTGTTGTCCAGCGCCTGCTTCAACTCGTTCAATAGCTTGTCCTGGAGACGAGCAATTGAATAACGATTAACACGATATATACCACTATTATTATTATTTATAATAAATATCATTATACATATAATATACTGTGTATAAATAATAGAAATATAATTACATACTATATATAACGGTTATATTAATGAGGCGGTGTTGGGAGAGAGGCGCACGCACCTGCTTCTCCTTGTTTGCTAGCGTCGCTCGCTGCATCTCATGTTTGTATGTCTGTACCTCCTCTTCCAGCTGCTCGTTAGTCCCCTCTCGTCCCTTAATGATCACCAGCAGGTCGTCTGCCATGCACAGAACACACGTCATATTATAGTTAATATATATACATATAGTTAATATATATATATATAAATATAGTTAATACATATTCCTGTCTGCATAGAACACACGTCATATAGTTACTATATATATATTATACCCGTCTGCATAGAACACACGTCATATAGTATATATATATATATATATAAATATATTTAATATATATTCCTGTCTGCATAGACCATGTGCTTAAAGCTTTGTTTGTAGTTTCATGAGTGAGTTTTGAGCGTTTAGTTGCGAACGTTAACCGAAGAATTACAGGCTGTGCTCACTTATACACGAAACAGTATAGAGAGCACAAGCAGGTGGGAAAATGTTAGATCTTAAATCTTAAAATATGTTCCAAATTATATTCGTGTTATTCTAAATTGTCTTCGTGTTATTTCAATACAAACACGTTACACAGACGCAAAGCGAATGTTTAACATTCTAAGCATAAATGTTTTGTTCTAAGACAGTAATAATAACAGTATGCGTCCGTAAACCCACGTGACGTAGGAGAAGGGAGTGAGGGGCTGCCTGCCACGCAGTCACGAGGGGTGAGGGGTGAGGGGTGAGGGGTGAGGGGTGAGGGGTGAGGGGTGGCTGCCTGCCAGTCGCAGTCGACGGTACGGGTCGAGGGTCGACGGGGTGTAGGGGTAGGCGGGTCACGGGGTCGAGGG